TCCCTCCCTCCCTCCCTCCCTCCCTCCCTCCATCCATCCATCCATCACAGGGACACAGAGACAAACCATTCACTCTCTCACACCTAGAGACAACTTAGAGTTACCAGTCAGTCTAACATGCATGTTTTTGGTCTGTGGGAGGAAACTGGAGTACCTGGACAAAACCCACGCAGCACGGAGAGAACAACTGACACCACTAAAGGAAATATTTTTGCATTTTACCCTTCATAAGGCTCACTGGTCAAAGCCACCGGACAGTTTTCATCTTCCCTGAAGTTATTAACGAGCAACAAGAAGTAATGAAAGTCTCTTTTTCTCTTAGCTCTGAGGTCAAATTATCGTAAGCTTTATAACAAATGGCTCCTGTTGATATAAACACTTACCTTGTTTTGTATTTGAGAGAAATATCCCAGTGCTTCCTGCCCTTGGGGCTCTGGCAGCTTCAGTGCTTCACAGATTGCTGAAAGCTCTTGACAAATGGGACTCTCTTCTTCGTGTTTATCAGAGGTTTGCCTGCTCCTCACGATCTGTGCAGCCTGAAGCTCGGAGCTCAGAAATACTGAGAAAGGAGATATGTTTTAATTCCTAAATCTGGTACTGACCACGCAAGCAGTGACTGGATGAAGGAGAGTGACGACGTACAGACAAATCTGAGATGGTCTTTTGTGCTTGGAGCAGTGCACTGAAGAATTCCTGAAACAGCTTCTTCAAAAGGACAGTGCAGCTCCTTCAGCAAAGAGCTCATCTCCACCTGGAGGCTGCTCACGTCCTCTGGAAGAACACACAATAATGTGACACATAGTTCAACTGAGTAAAATGTTGTTATAGAGGAGCAAAAGTGGTGAGGAGTGGTGGCACAGAGGTTAGAGAAGCGAGCCTGTGAGCAGAAGGTTGTTGGTTTAAATCCCTCTGCCCATAACATCAAAATGTGGGTGGGAAAAGGTGACGCACCCACACCTGCCTCCACTAACATTTGCCCCACTCTGGGCCTTTGAGCAGGACCATCTGCTCCCCAGTGCCCCAGATAACAGCTCTGCTCCACACAGAGGGCTGTGGTAGCTCAGTGGTCTGTGGTTACGTGAGGAAGGGCATGTGGCATAAAAACAACTGTCAAACCATCAGGCAAGTTTGCTCGATGTGGCAACTTGTGAAGAAGTGAGCAACTGAAAGTGAAAATAATAATAATAACAATTTAATATTAAAAATAAAGAAAAAATAGAGCACCAAAATGGCCCTTAAGTAAAGATTAAAAGTAGTTAGAGAAGTAATAGGCACTGAGTCTTTGATTATATTACAGTTTTCATTAAAATACTTTACTCATTTCTTCTTATAAAATTGGTTAACTAAAAAAAAGAGAGCAGCTATTATTTGCTTTGCAGTAATTAAAAAATAAATCTTTAAACTCAGTCAAAAATCAACGCAAAGTTTGTTTCCAACAAACAGTTTAAATTAACAAATTTATTAAAAATTAAGACAAAAATATAAAGCTAAAAACTTGCACGTTTGGATGTAACTATAAGTGGTTATTAAATGATTAGATAAACTAATTTTCATATAAATACAAATAAAAGCATCTATTACAACATTCTTATAAGCTTTTCAAATAACAGCCTTGATTTATCAAAAATGGATCAACGAAGCTGTCAGATTGATAATGTATGGTGTGAGTTGTACAAATATTTCACAGGACGTATTTAAAGAAGACAGAGGTGTGTTTGATGGAGGCTGACCCGGTCCTGAGATGATGCTCTCCTCCAGATCACACAGAGGCTTCAGTCTGGATGCTAACCACCTGCACAGCTCCACGTACTCCGGGGAGGAGAGGCCTCCCTCTGCGGCCTTCAGCAGCGCCTTTTCCTCCACCAGAGAACCGTCATAGCTGCGGGCCGTGACACACAGGCATGGACAAAATATAAGCAGCTGTTAGAGCCTGAGGCTGGTCGTAAACACGCCGCTCTGGTTCCTGGCAACACTAGCTCGCGATCAGTGCTAACAAGACTTAGCTAATATGTCGCTGAAAATGTATAAACTTACCCGAGCTGCTCTAAAGAGTCCAAAATGTCACATTCCATAGTGAAGTTTTTAGGTTTTTTATTTACTAAAAAGTGGTGAAACTACAAAAATATGTGTCAACATGAGCTGTGTTTGCACCCATTCATTTCCACAACAAATAATACTGTGGCTCCTGGCGTTTCCGGTTAGGTGCATCAACCGGAGGGAAACGCTGTCGACAAATATTCGTTCCGCCAATTTAAAAAGTATAATAATAATATAATAATAATATCAATTAAAGTACTTTAACTTTGTTTAAATAAAACAAATGACTAAAAGGACTTGCAATGCAAATCCTTTTGAACATTTCTTCTTCATCTTCTTTCAGCTATTCCCTCTTCCACTACCCTCCTCCATCTCACTCTGTCCTCTGAATCCTCTGTCCTCAATGAGTGGGGTGGCTGTCTCAGAGTGGCCAGAGCAGTCGTCCTCCAATGCAAGAGTTGGTGGTTCGATTCCACCAGCACTCACATACCGAAGTGTCCCTGGGCAAGACACTGCCCCTCATTGCTTCTGATGTGTGTCCCATTGGTGGGTGTATGAATGTGATAAAGCACTGATTAATCTTTGTATAGATCTAGTAGAGAGCTGTATGAATGGGTAAATGAGGAACAGATTGCGTTGTAAAGAGCTTTGAGTAGCTTGAAATTTACCATTTATGTAATCTCCAACAGCTTTGCTTTGTAATTTTATTATTAAAATTACAAATAAATAAATACTTAACTTAATTAAAATTACTCATAATATTTTTGATGTTAATTGTATTATTTCAACAGCATCCTTCATTCATTAATTCAACCTTTATTTAGACAGATAAGTCACATTGAGCCTAGAAGACTCATTTACAAGAGAGATCTGTTTACACAGATAAAAAGTAGTGAAACCAGACATGTAGGAATTTGGAGGCAAAAGAAAATTCCTATCAGACTTTTTATTCTTGGCTGAGAAGAAAAACTCTGATATTAAAAAATGCCTCGCACAAACAAGCACATAGTGATGTAGACATTCTGCAGAGGGGGGAGACGACGAGAGCGGAAAGCATGTCCATAGACGCTCTCAAGGGCATTGTAATAGTTCTGATAAGGATGGAATAATCAGCCAGTGTCCTCCAGTGAGATCCATAAACATTCTCGAGGAATGGCCAAGAATAACGACTATGAGAATCCAAGAGGATTGAAATGATGACACAAAGTTTATTCAGCTGGTTTCATCTGGTTATCAGTTGGAAATTCCTCAGGGAGAGGGTGGTGAGTGTCAGATCACATGTTCTCCAGGCAAATTCAGATAAGATGGCCTTCAAGGCCAGCCAAGCGAGCCAAATTCAGATAAACGCACAGTTGTTTTGGGGACAGGCAGAACTTAATGATATCTACCTTGAGTTTGTGTTGGTCCACTCGGTTCCGAAATGTCCAAATTACATGGCCACACCGATGGAACGTGACTGAGTTAAATCCCCGAGATCTGATCCATTCTGCCCAAAGCATTTGAGTCTGGGTACTTGAGGCACGAACCAAGCCATCATAAAGGCAAGCAGCGTGATCGTGTCCAAATTTGCTGCAGACGACTTCCTTGACTGTAGATAAAACCAGCAACCAGCCAAATCCAAAAAGCAGGAACCAGTTCACTCTTTCAGGGATGAAGATGTTCACATCCTGGATAGAGAGGAATGATGGTTTGAGAGAGGAGTAAAGGAGGCCATCTTTGTGAAAAGAAATCATCCATCATTAAACAGGGGTGGAGGCCTCCGGGTTCAACTGTCCCCCTCTTACAATGCTGTGATTGCTAGTATCACTCAGCCCTCTGTGAACAGTAAACAGCCATCAGTGTGCTAATGATCCATTGTTAGGCTGATGGTCCTTCTTGACCATGTGATCAGCTGGTTTTGGTTGTCAGCAGCAAACTGGTTGATCCACTCTGAGACGGTGCTATTTAAGAGACTGAACTGAATACAGCACCTCAGACTGAGGAAGTCTCTCGGATGGAAGACGAAACGTTTCTACATTTTTTTGTTGTTTTGCTTTGTTTTGTTTTTGAATGTCCAGAGGACCAGATTGAACTTTTTTAGATTACATAATAAGCTTTTAAATTAAACAAGAAAGTTTAGCTAATATGTCTGCAACCTTTATAATCAAGTCCTTTCAGTTGCTTCACTGCTGAAAATGTCCTGAGCTGCAAAACATGCAATAACTTTAAACTGGTGGACAGTGGGTTACTTCCAGTACACGAATTGTTTATTACAATAAAACAATTTACAGTAAATTGACATGATTATTATATGCCTGTTAAGACACAAAAGTCCACATTCATAAAAAAGGGTAACTATTTTACAGAAAACTTTAATCAAATTTATGCACCAAACTATAAACAAGTCTTAGGCTTATGAATCATTTTATATTTGTGAATTATTAGAAATTTAACAATCTTACTCTGTACTCACAAATCATTTACATATTACTTCTAACCTACAAAGCTCTCAACAACCTAGCTCCATCTTATATTACAGATCTTGTTGTTCCATATTTTCCTAACAGAGCACTTCGCTCTCAGACTGCAGGTTTACTTGTGGTTCATAGAGTTTACAAAAACAGAATGGGAGGCAGATCCTTCAGTTATCAGGCTCCTCTCTTGTGGAACCAACTTCTAATCTCTGTCCGAGAGGCTGACACATTATCCAGTTTTAAAACTAGGCTTAAGACTTTCCTTTTTGATAAATCCTATAGTTAGGGTGGGTTTGGGTTTCCTGAGCTGTTCCTTAGTTATGCTGCTATAGGCTTAGACTGCTGGAAGACAAACTGACCACATTTCACTCTGCTGCTGTCTTTACTTACTCTGCTCAACCTGTTTTGTGTTTGTAATAATTTTTTCTATCCTTAACATGTGTTTTTTGTCTTTCAGGTACACCTGGACCTACACCTGGACCTACCATTCTGTGTTCGTCTGTCTCTCCTTCCTGTCCTCTCAACCAGCCGGTCAAAGCAGATGGTCTCTTGTCCTGAGCCTGGTTCTGCTGGAGGTTTCTTCCTGTTAAAAGGGAGTTTTTCTTTCCACTGTTGCCACTGTGCTTGCTCAGGATGGGAGACTGCAACGAAGCCAAGATTCAACTTGTCTGCTGGATTCCTTAGATAGAGAACTTTACTAATTGGCTTTTATGTGAATGTTCCTGTAAAGTGCCCTGAGACAACTTTGTTGTGATTTGGTGCTATATAAAAAAACTGAATTAAAAATATAAAAATTAAGCAAGTTTGTTGAATGTTTTATTCAAGCTGTAGTTTACTTGAACTTTGTTTTGATCAAAAAAGCAAGTTTTTACCTCCAACTCCAGTCCAAGCAGCGGTGCTCAGCTTGCCATAGTTTTGCTGAGCACCTTTAATTTTAAGTCTTTTAATCTATGACACATTTGTAAAACTGAACTTTTATTGGTCTTCTGGACAACTTATGTTAAATGTGTCAAAACATTAAGATTTCTGTTGATATCTGAGAAAAGTCAGACCATGTGGCTGGAAGTTGGATTAATGAAGTGGCAACAGGATTAATAAAATTCAAAATCTTACTTCTAACATACAAAGCTCTCAACAACCTAGATCCATCTTATTTGTTCCATATTTTCCCAACACTTCGCTCTCAGACTGCAGGTTTACCTGTGGTTCCTAGAGTTTCCAAAAGCAGAATGGGAGGAAGATCTTTCAGTTATCAGGCTCCTCTCTTGTGGAACCAACTTCCAGTTTCTGTCCGTGAGGATGACAGATTATCCAGTTTTAAGACTGGGATTAACTTTCCTTTTTGATAAATCCTATGGTTAGGGTTGGCTTGGGTTTCCTGAACTAGCCCTTAAATTATGCTGTTATAGGCTTAGACTGCTGGAGGACAAACTGACCACATTTCCTCACTCTGCTGCTGTCTTTACTTACTCTGCTCTACTCTGTATTTGTAATTATTTTTTCTATCTTAACATGTTTTTGTCTTTCAGCTACACCTGGATCTACATCTGGACCTGCCATTCTGTGTTCGTTTCTCCTTCCTGTCCTCTCAAACCAGCCGGTCGAAGCAGACGGCCGCTTGTCCCGAGCCTGGTTCTGCTGGAGGTTTCTTTGTGCTAAAAGGGAGTTTTTCCTTTCCACTGTCTCCGTTGTGCTTGCTCAGGATGAGACTGTGACGAAGCCAAGATTCAACACAATCTGCTGCTTCCTGATAGAGAACTTTTACTACCGGTAATTGGCTTTTTATGTATATGAATGTTTCCGTTCAGTGCCCTGAGAGACTTCTGTTGTGACTTGATGCTCTAGAAATAGAATTGATTAAAAACTACCAGCTAATCTGAACGATGTTTTACTTCTTAGGGGCATTTTCAGAAAAAAAAAACGGGGAAAGAAAAATGCAAACACTATCCTTTTTTTGTTCTTCAGAACAAAGTTGTTATTTTTGGTCAAAGCCACAAAGACCCACTGAAGAGGAGCTAAAGAGCTGCAGGACGCTGACCCTTAGATAAAATGTAACAAACCACAATAAAAAATGTAACAAAAAAACACACAAGGTGTGACTTAAGACTTTTGCACAGCCATGTGATTCTCCAAAACATAACGTAATTCAAGCGCACTTACTGCTCAGTACTCCTTTTTGCATCTGTACGGTTATTTTTAGTCATAAGCTTTTATTTTTATTGGATTATTCATTCATTCAACCTTTATTTAAACAGATAAATCACATTGGGCCTCGAAGACTCATTTACAAGTGAGACCTGTTTGGACAGACAAATTAAAGTCAGAAAATTGAACCACAGAAAATTTAAAACTCACCATTTTATTATGATAATGTTATTTGATATGTCAAATTACAAGTGTATGATGTAACATAAAAACAGTTACATAGGTATGCATATTTACATTATACATTTATGAAAAGTAACAAGCTACATCTGTATAAAGAAAATACATCTATGACATGAGTTATTGGAACTATCAATTTTATATCAGATACTTGGTATGAGAAGAAATACCTAGACGTGTAGAAACCAATAAAACCAGGATGAGAGGTTAAACCGTCAGATGGGAACTAAGATGAACGTGAGGCACTTTTTTGAGGTTGTCAGGATGTGAAAGCTGATGGCACTAAAAGAATCAACAGATGCACAGGAAAGGAAATCTGCACAAAGATATAAAAAAAAGAAAACGGGCAGTGTTTACAGAATAGTTAAGAGTAGTACCATTTATACTGCAAGTCTTAAAACACAAATGTCTTCCACTATTTAGAACTAATCACATAAATGTTACATCAAGAGCTGTAGGATGAAAAATAAAAAGCTCACACTTAGTATCAGTGCACCAAAAGCATCGGAGAATTGAAACAAAACCACTTCACTGCTGTGAAAAGTAATCCTTTAAAAAAAAAAATACACTGAACAGAAACAGGTTAATATAGCTTCTATTTTTTTAATCTACACAATAAGAATTTACACTTGTATGCATTCCCAAAGATATGCACGATTTCCAAAATCGAAAGAGAATAAAAGACTAGCAGCAAAGTGGTTAAAACTGAAGTCTTATATAATGCAGGTCAAAATATATATATTTATATATATATTAAAGCAGACAGACACATGTTGCATATATAATACAGTACATGACAGGAAGTTGCACTGCGCTGGTTAATGCAGGATGAGAAGTGTTATTTGGGCATTCTCTACACGTTTGTATAAATGCACGCTCTTTACGTTTGCTTCTCAGCCAGCAAGTTTTCATCTTCAAACCTCCGTTCAGTTTGCAATAATACGGGCCGACCCGATCGCAGTGGGAGAATCTGACAAGCAACCAAACGTTTGGTTACACACCAACCCCCCTCTCCCCGTACACACACACATACACGATTGTGAACACATAAACACACACACACACACACACACGGGTCATCACGCAGCAGAGCAATCAACTATTTAAACATGACGGCTGTTATATGTTGAGAATTAGGTTTAACAGTCATTCATAGCTGATTTTCTCTGTCAACAAAATAAAATTAGTGATTGTATCTAGCAGCTTTATACGTGTATTTATATATATATATTTATATTTAGTTATATATATCAAACTTTAGAAACGAGTGGACTGCCACTACCATGTTAGCATTATCCTTCCTTCTACCGTACAAAACTAGACAGACTCTATTAGAAGCTCAATAGTTAAATCTGTCACAAAGCCCTCTACTTTTCAATGTGAAATAATACTAAAAGGTGACGTATGTACAAAATGCTGTCATTTAGGAGCTACAGTATAGGCTGACAGCAAACATAAATACAGCTCTAGCTTTAAAATCTCAAAGAGAAAAAGCTGAGATTATTATTATTATTACGTACTTAAATATAGTGTTACATATTTACAAGGTTTAGTTTGGCACCAGGGGTTGGCCAACTGTGTCTGTAGCATTAAAGTGTCCTGTCCCATCACCAACTCAGACAGGACAACGTGTTAAGTTTGCATAGAAAGTAAAGGTGGTCAGCTTTGAACTGGGGAAGTGGGCCATGTTTGTTCAACTGACACCAGGTGGATTTGGATGATAAATCTGCAGCGAGTTAAACGGTTAGAAAGAGCTGAAAGGAGAAGGGAACTTCTTGTTTACTTTCTTTCTTGGTTAAAATAATAAATTAGGTTGACTAATGTTTGTATAAAATTTGAGGCTGTAGCATAAAGTCTGGAGGCAGTTCAACACCAACATATTCTTTTTTGTGTTCAATCACATGTAAAGGTTGGGGCTGACCAGAGGTGATGCAGGGGATGGACTTTGGATAAGAGTCACATAATTAACATCTCTCAGGGTTTCCTGACAATCACACATGGCTACCGCAGCCCCCAGTAATGGAACCCTTTCAGTTTTGGGCAGGATTAAGAAAGCTGCTTTAGCTGTGACAGAAAAACGAGGATGGTGTCCGTTCCATTAACTTCTTTTATCCATTTGCTTTAAACCAACGCGCTTTATGCCAAAGACTCGAAACCCTAATCCCACCATCAGAGGTGAAGCCTGACACAAAGCCAACGTGCAGATGAAGACACATGCACAGCACAAACCATTCTTAACAGCTCAGACAAGTGTCCGTGTTTGTACAACTTTGCATTCATTCTGGGGCTGATAAATAAAAACAATAGGAGTGGATTCACTTTTGAATAACAATGTGTTACTACATTTATACAGAATGAACAGTAAACAATAGAAAATAACAACAACAACAACAACAATAATGGTTGGAGAGGGTGCTGCAACCAAAGCTTGGAGAGCAGAGCTTTAAAGGTCGGGTTTCCCCCAGTCCCAATCAGCTGGTGAATTACTTCAACTCTCTACAAACTCATTCCAAAATCTGAAGGTTTCTCTGATTAAAGTTGTCATTTAACAAAGAAGCTCCGTGCCCCCCCCCCCCCCCGCCCTTCCCCCCACCATAACAAACTTGCTGGTTGAGCAACATTTCAACCTTTGATTCAAACTTAATTAGAAATGTGAGCAAGAAAGAAAAAGTAAATGTGAAGAGCAGTTAAAGGCGCTCAGTGAAACTAATGAAACTGCGTGTGCTTCATGACAGAAACGGGTCAGCAGGGTTCTGTTTGCAACTCTTCTCATGTCAAGAAAGGAAATCACTGTCTGGGAGAATTTTTGTCACATGTTTGTATCTGATTGTTCCCCTCCTCTCATGGATGTTTCATTTCAAATCTGATCAAAATGTCTGAATCCCGCCTGAAGAGCTTTTTATTTTTTCCCATAAAAATCTTTGTTTTAAATAAAAGATTATACTTTTTTATAAAATAAATTTTGGCTTTACATCCATTACGAACATCTCCCAAAACTTAAAATGACACTGAACGTGTGGGACAACATGCCACAGAATTTTCAGAAACACCTTGAATCAGGAGGGGAGAGCATTTAGTGCATTTTCTCTGGTCATTACATCGTCAGCCAACGCTGAAGCCGTGAAGGAAAGGCCACTGTTACCCAACTGTCACAAAAAAAGCAAGAACACATCCCTTTTAGTATTTTCAAACCGCAAGTACTTCTGTCCTCAATACAGTTGTAGCTTTGTTTTCTTTTTTGTCATTTAGTTGTCACTATCTGTACAAAATATATTTTTCCTTCATAAAGTTACACATCGTGGCCTGGCTTTGTCAATGTATGAGTGAATGTGAGCTGTGTGTGTGTGTGTGTGTGTGTGTGTGTGTGTGTACAGGTGTAACATCTTCAAGTCTGTTAATCATGGTGTCTCGTCCTCCTCGTCACCACAGATTAAGCTCCTGCGTTTAACTTGATGCTCAGAGCTCCCAAAAAGCATATAGTTTGTTCTCCACTGCTGCTTGTCGGCGACAAACACAAACTGAAATCTCCAAAAGCCCTCAGAGCTGGGGATCAACAACACATCACCCCTTCTGAGAGAAAGGAATGAAAAAAGGATGCCGGCTAATAATTTTCCGCTTTTATCCACTGCCTTTGTTAGCAAGCTTTAAGGGTGTCCCTGTGTCCGGTGTGGGGTCATCCCGCTGCCTTGTGCTTGCCCCCACAGCAATGGCAGGCCTCGCCACAGTGGTGGCAGGCGCGCAGAGGCAGGTAGCAGCACATGCAGGGTGCGATGAAGGACAGCGCCATCAGGGCCAGCCAGCGCAGGCAGAACTGCTCGTCAGACGTGTCGCACGAACAGGGGTCTGAGTAGTCCCCCTCTGAGTCGGACATACAGTGGTACAGCATGCTCTCGGCGCAGAGCATGCAGCTGACTTTGTAGATGCACTGCTTGATTGGGTCAGGGGCGTCCTGGCACTGCCCCCGCCAGTTGTCTTCATGGTTGAACATTTCTCGACAGTAAATGCAACGCGAACGCTCGCCATCCTCTCTTCGCCGACGGCCCTTCTTCGACTTCAGAAGGGGGGACGGCTGAGTCTTAATGGCCGTGTCTTTGCCCAGCCCCAGCCCCATCCCTGTTCCAATGCCCATCCCGGGGCCAGAGTGAGAGTCTCCACCGGGGCCATCAGGAAAGAGGTACTCAAACTTCTTACTGTCCAGTTTGTTAAAGGGGGTTGGGAAGTCCATGTCGTCATGGTCGACATCGCGTCTGCTCATGACTGGGTGGCGGTAGTCCTCGTAGCCTCGGACGTCTTTACGTGGGTTGATGCGAACGATCTCCTCTTCATCCACACGAAAACTGACACGACGAGTCGACTTAAAGAAAACCAGCCAAGAGGACAAATTCATTAACGCCTTTATTGCAAACAAGACTTTAGATTTTAGAAGCAATTATAAATGCACACCTGTGGAGGCAGGTAGCGACGGGTGTCATCAAAGAGCTGGGTGCGGATGTAGTAGCCCCGGAATGGCTCAGTGGAGACATTACTCAGAGGAGAGAAGGGCTCTTTCATGGGAGAACAGATGGATGGAGGCTCGACGCACACCTGCAGAAACACAATCACCACCGTGAATAAAACTGTTTTGATATTTGAAGTCAGCATTTTAGTTTTCCATTCTTTTTTTAAACTTTTGTTATGTTTCTGCTGAGATCACATCAGTCTTTGCATTTGCCTATTTGACAAGCAATAACAGGAAGTGTGATTCATGGTTATTTTGTTCTACATTGCAGCATCTCGGTGGCATTTTAAAAAATGTGGAGATTCTGATAATCAAATGAATGTACAGACAAACTTTAGCTCTGCTAATTAAAAAAGGGGTAAAATAATTTAATAACATACACATGGCAGCCTAAACACTTGACATTCACATTGTACATTATCATTTCACTGTCAGAAGTCAGTTTTTATCACTCCAACAGCTTCGACTCGTGTGTCAGCTGTGTGCATGTGTGTTTGTTTCACTTTAACCACCAGGGGGCGTCCTGCGCCCACGCTTTGCCAAATGATGCGTTGAGTGGGATGACTCAAGGCCCTTCTGTTATAAGAACTCAGAGTTCCCATCAGGCTCACATGTGCTCCCACAAACACACAGAAACAAACACTGATGCACACACATGCATGCATAAAAAAACCCTGTCAAACAACGAAGAGATAAACATTCTCAAACTGCACCAACTGATCTCAGGAGGAAAAACTCACTGTTGAAGCAGGTCGAGGTGTCTATAAATAGCATGTAAAGAATGATTCTTAGAAGTAGAACCATTTCTGACGATCTACAGAGATTAAGTTATTTAGTGCAACACCCAGGGGCTTATGACAACAACATTTTATGATTAAAGCACACAGCTGACATGCTGCAGAGCAGAAAGGATAATCTAATAACATGAAGCACAGTAGTTTTCATGCAATCATCTATAATTTGCACCTATTCCTATTTTAAACAAACAGATATCCTCCCATAACTCAGACCCAGTAGTATTCATTGGCTAGCTGTCCTTCTTTTCCCACACACATCCCGACCTCATCAGGGCAGGGTTAGTCCTCCCCTCTTCGCCTCCCTCCCTCCCTCTCTCCTTTCTGCATGTGGAGGAGGCTGCTGGCTCTGGTTAGTCAGTGCTGTGTGTAAAGTAGCCCACGCCAGTGCTTTAACGCACAGCGGAAATCTGGTTTGCTCCTAGCTGCTGCTACAGTAATTACTGTCCTGTGGTTGCTAGGAGATGCTTCCTTTGACTTCTTCCCCCCTCACTTGTCTCCCCCCCACCCCTATCCTTTACTTGCAACCCCCCTCCTTCTTCCTTCCCCACATTCTCCAGACTGCTAGCACATGGTGTGTGTGTGTGTGTGTGTGTGTGTGTATCTTTGCTCTTTCTTTGCCTTCAAATGTACCAAGTGGTGTAACACATCTGCAGTGTCTGCAAGGGAATGTGAGGAGCAGGAGACAGAGGAAGGAGAGCGAGGAGAAAAAACAGAACAGGAAAAAATGAGATTGTGTTGTATGCATGCGTGAAGCAGAGAGAAACAGAGAGCACGAGAGGCCAGGAGTCTGCAGAGAGAATGTCATAAACCAGCTCCAGCTGGAGAAATGCTGCACAGAACTTGAAAAGCCAAATGACAGCTGTTTGTGTGTGTGTGCGACTGCGTGTGTGTCAGTGCAGAGAGAACGAGGGAGAGGAGTGGAGCGAGGGGTGCAAAATGGGAAACAGACATGGGCTTCCTTTTAAAGTGCTTGCCTAAGCCCCACCATTCAAAGGCATGCGTGGGGGCCAATCTGGAGCTGATCTGACCCTGGAGATGTGGTTGGGTGAGGTGGGGGGTTTGTGGGGGTGGACGCCAGGGGCAAATATGGCTCCACTACAGCTACATCAGGGAAACGTGCACTTCCGCCCTCCAAGGCACAGGGGTTCAGGACAGGGAAGGTGGGAAGACGAGCCACATGTTGAAGAGGCAGAGCAGATTCTGGTTCCACTCAGAGCTCCAGTGTTGCTTCATCTCGAAACACTTTCACATTCTGACAGCCAAACACCATGCTGCAAGTCAGGAAAACCAGTTTCTGACTAACTAGGACTGCTTTTTGGACTAACTAACCAACTAAATAAATAAATAAGGGCGGCACGGTGGTGCAGTTGGCAGAGCTGTTGCCTCTGAGCAAGAAGGTCACCGGCTCAAATCCCGGCTGGGGGTCTTTCTGGGCAGAGTTTGCATGTTCTCTCCATGATGCATAGGTTTTCTCCAGGTACTCTGGTTTCCTCCCACAGACCAAAAGCACGCATGTTAGACTGATTGGTAACTCTGAATTGTCTCTAGGTGAGAGAGAGTGAATGTTGTTTTGTTTGTCTCCATATGTCCCTGTGATGGACTGGAGACATACATGTCCAGGGTGTCCCCTGCCTCTTACACAGTGACTGCTGGATTTGGACACCAGTGACCCCCCGCAAAAAGAAGAAGCAGGTAAAGCTAATGGATGGATGGATGGATGGATGAATAAATAAATAAATTAATTAAAATATAAAAAAATAAAACAAGACCTATTCCTCTTAAAAGTTCAAGCATCAATATTAAATTATGACAAAATTATTATTGCCCGCCACAAAAGGGAATGCAATAAGGTTTTTGCCCATGTCTGTGTTTATGTTTCGCTCTGTAAGCAAAATATCAAGAACCACTGGACAGATAGAAGACCACAGAAAGTAATCATTGAATGCAGATCCACAACTGAACAACTTTTGAAATCAATCCAATTCATGAGGACAGTCACAGCTACTGTATATACGCTCATTTACCCGCAACATTCATAAAACACTCGGGCGGGCAGCCCGATACTTTTCATTGAGGGACCGGCCACCTCCGTGGGGTTTGCTGTTGGTTGCGGAGGAGCCTGACGGAACCGGACCAGGACAGAACTGAGCAAAGGACGGCTCCCGCCTCTACGGTCAGTCCGACCACTGCTCTACTGGAGGAAGCCTCTCCTGCTGGGAAGCACAGAGGAGGAACTGCTCGAAGGAAGACCGGCGTCTGCAGAGTTCTGCTGGTCTTCCATCTGAACTCACATGGATTAATTGGATCTGTACGGGACCACCAGTTCAGAGATGATCAACTGAAGGATCTGTTCCAGATCACGCTGTTGGTTTAATCCGTTTATCTCTTTGAACTCTGTTCGGATAGACCCTGAACCTGTGAAGGGCTCTACCTGAAGGTTTTTTTTTCTTCTCATCTGGATCAGATCTCTGTTGATCCGAACTGAGCCAGGACCATGCCTTCCAGAACGAGTGGATTGTCTGGCAGCTCGCTTTGTTCCTTGATGTGGATTATCTGTTTCTGCCTGTTGGTTCTGGACCCAGCATCTGTTCAACATGAGAGCAGCTGGAGTGATTTGTCTACACCGGGGTGCTGGAGCTCCCCTCAGTCCAATTCAAACTGCAGTTGATCCACTATGCTGGGCCTGCCAGTCCATTTGACCTATGATGCTGTCTGCTCTGAAATCTTTCTGCATCATTCCCACCATTTTCAGATCTCTGACTATTTGGAATCACTGAATCTTGTTAACGCATCTGGATCTGCCTCACCCTGCAAATTTCACTGTTTTTGGGTTCTAAGTAATCATATCTTTATAAACTTTTCACCATGGTTCAATTATGGGGGCTAAGTGTCACATTATTAACTCCTGTAATTACACATCTGTCACAAAAAACACAAGAAAATGTCAATAATGTTGTTATTGCTCTCAAGGATCCAGCCCAACCCTGGAACCCCCACACATTACAGCACACCAAATGATTTTAAAAACCATTTCAGGTCTTCATTTTTTGCATTTTAACGCACGCAGTCTTCCAAAAATAAAAATAAAAACTTGACACGTTGAGAATTTGGGTCCGTTCATCTGGGGCTGATGTAATTTTCATTTCTGAATCCTGGCTAAACAAATCTAACTTGAATATGGATGTGGCAATTGATGGATTTAACATCTTGGTGGCAATTTACATCAGAGCAAGCCTGGATTCTAAACTAGTGTCAGCTAAAACAATTCCAAAACTATTTGAAGCCCTAGCTGTAAACGTCACTTTGAATGGAGGCCAGATCTCATCTGTAGTGGATGTTATTCCCCCTCCCCAGCAACCTCTGAGGCCCTGTCCTCCTTGACTGACTTCCTAGTTGATTCACAGTTCAAAAAAAATTTTCTCGCAGATTTCAATGTCACCTGGAAAAAGCTGACCCCCCTCTGTGATAAATTCAAGGAATGTTGCCTGTCACTTAATCTGACCAGAACTATTGACACTCCCACCAGATCAAACAAGCATTGTCCTGAAAAATCTTCCATTTTAGATTTATTTATAACAAATATGCATCATAAATTCCCTGGTATAGGTGTTTTTGCTGATGGTATGAGTGATCATTGTGTTATTGCGATGCTTAGAGACACTAAACTTCCCCACTCTAAGCTCAGGTTAATTCAAAAAAGGGACCTGAAATGTTTTTGTGACCAAGCTTTCCTATGGGATTTTTCTCACTTCGACTGGCACCATATTCTATTAACAAACGACGTGATCACAGCTTGGAACTATTTTCAAAATACTTTCATCTATTTTCTCAACAAACATGCTCCTTTTCGCCCGTTCAGCATAAAAGGAAGAGACAGCCCCTGGTTTCCGCCTGATCTAGCTGACCTTCTGCACAAGAGAGATCAGCTTTGGGCTGTAGCAAGAAAATTTGGCTCAGACACTGACTGGTTGAATTTTCAACAGCAGCAGAATAAATGCACAACTTCCATCAAAGTTGCAAAACATAACTTTTTTTATCTCAGACCTCAAAAAATCTAAATGATCCTAAAACATTCTGGAAAACCATCAAATCTCTCTCCGGCAGCTCATCTGACTGCCCATCATAACTTCTTGTTGTCTCTGTTCCTGAGCCAAATAAGCACGAGATCCTGAACTGTATCAACAGACATTTTGTCGTTTCTAGTTCTATGACACGATAACTAATGAAAAATCAGCCATTTCTACTAAAAACCAATCATCTACAAACCAAATCTCTCCTACAAGTCAATC